TGTCTTCACAGTCAACTCGCAGCACTTGATCAGAGGCAGAAGAGCCGGTTATTAGACAGCACTGGGGGATTTCCCCTTAGGCATAAAATTAATCCCAGCACAGCACCATACGGAAGAAGGAAGTCATTAGTAGAATCCCTACAGCTCCATACCGGAAAAAAAGCCCAGTGGATAGTGCTCTTGCCAAAACCTTCCTTACCCCTTGGAAAGGCAGACCAGACTCCCCAGACACCTCCACGTGCTTCTCACAGCCAGGCAGGCAGCTCCATTCCTTGGCTCTAGGTTAGTGCTCCATGGCAGGAAGGTCAATGGAAGGAGGATGCAGAGCAGAAGACTTCTTAGATTTCAGGTCCTTTTTGTGAACCAGACTGTAGCTCCCAGAAAGCCCCAGAAGGTTTTCTGCAGAATTTTCCCCAGCCCTCTCCCAACAGTGCAAAAGATAAAAGCACGAGGTCCCACATCAGGTAAGCCTAGAACAGTTCAGAGAAATACAATCCTCTAAATGCCTGGGATTGTGCCTGCAGGCACTGAGAAGAGGAGACCTGGAGTCAAGATGTAAGAAACTACCTGGGGATCTTAGTATAAGGGTATACATTTCATTTCCTGACAGTGCAGCTGCATGAGATTTTTCCTTCTGTACTCAAAAACGACCCATAAGCAGGAACTGTCATCGAACACAAAGTCCATCTGTATCAGTATAAGGGTGAAATGGTTGTCAGAAACCAGCATTTCACCAGACTTAAGAACCCCGCTTGGTTTAGATACATGTCACGACAAGATGGAAGTGATACACCCTGTACAGCCAATCATAAGGTAAGAAAAATGAGGTACCTAGATTTAAAAAAATAAAAAGCCTGGTCAAACATTTAAAAAGTGAACAATCACACTTGACACCAGAAGCATTTACTTACTGCCAGGCTCTAAAGAGCCAACTGTTTCCATTTTTCCAAGCATTTAGGTTGTGTTTTCTGCACCTACACTGGTTGACCTGAACACATGCTGTCTAATAAAAATTGACTTTCTTGATAACAGAGAGATGTGCTGGAGAACAGCAAGTTCTACTGAAGGAGAGAAACTTCAGCCCTTTAAAATACAATTTTCACACAAATTCTGAGCTGGACATTCCTTACAGAAGATCCCATCAGAATTTTCACAGGGAAGACAGTTCACCTGTATCTATGAAGTCTCGGTAGCTGCCGTTCACGCAGACTGTTTTTATCTGCAATTCCAGTTTCACTACTTTTCCATCACTTACTTCTAACCTGCACGTACTTGGCAGTTTCCTCTTCCTGTTTTTCTTCCAGATGTACTATTAATTCAGAAGTAAATCTACACATCAAAATACATCCATGCACGTATCACCACAGCCTGGACCTGTACTTACACACAGTAAAGAATTAGAAAAGCCAAGCGGCCTCTTCTTCCCTGCCCGATTAACAAGCAATGCTCAGACCCAAAGGAACCCCAGTTCTGGGGTGGCTGTATTATTTTTCTGACTCTGCTGCCATCTGTACCTCCTCCCAGTTTCGTTTCATTTGCACAAATGTCCGTTTTTGCGTACACATCAATCAAGTCCCTGCACTTTGCTATAGTCTTAACATCAAGCACGTTGCAAAAAAAGCAAGCAGTTGCTCAGCAGCAGGCCTTCAAAGTACTCACTCGTGTTGAGCTCCAGGACTAAGACTCACTGAGAAGGTCCAGCCCAAGTCTTCCCTCGCATCAAGACTGATGACACCACCGAACGCATCACTACCCCGGTACTGCCCTGAAAGAATCAAAGGGTCAAGAGCCAGACCAGCTTTGTCTGGCTCACTGCGACCAACAAACTCAGGACAGACACACTACTGCTCGGGGAAACTCTCTGGTCCTTCGTTATCGTAACAGCTTTTTCAATGAGCAGCCTTCCTTGCCCATTCATCTCAGACCCTTTGCTGAAGGCCACCTCTGTGGCCACCAGAAACCCACCCCAGCTAGCAATCAGCCTTCTCTTAGTCGTTCTCTGCAGAGTCTGAGGGCAAAAGCGCTGAGCTCTGCTTCATCTCTGGGAGCTGCAGCACAAAGCAGAG